ATTTTCTAACCACGCGGACGGTCGGACGCGGTAAAACATGGTGGACTGGCAAGAACTAGTATGGCAGAGGTTCGTAAATACAGACATTTGTATGATTCAGATCTCAGAGATCACCGTGATCAACATGTTGTTAATAATTCTTGGAGAGAAATAGCTTGCACTGTCGGAAAAGACGAGGACGCTGTTAAAAATGCTGGAATGCCGTGTTGTAAACAACAGTAATTTCTACTTCTACTATGGTGTAGTGTTGGATGCATGCTGTAGAGCTCCATGCTGCCCCCTACAGTTTGGGAGAATATTGGCTCACCGCAGAGACGAGCCGCATGAACCATAAATGCTGCAAGTTGTGAAACGCATTCCATCCGCGAGCCGCATCACCAAGTGGAAAGTAAATGCGTCAAGCATAAACCAAGCTTGAAGCAGACCACCTCAGAAAGAGGGCTGAAAAACAGTCTCGTTGCACCCTGAAAAAAGGCAGGCCACCAAGATATGTAAGCAAGCTATGCTATCCGGGCCGGGCCGACGAGGTACAGATGGGAATGGCCCATAATTGTCCTAACAGTCCTCTCTGCTTCTTCGTTACTTTGTGGATATCGGGGGCTGCTCATCGTGTACTTCAAATCATAATCCTTTGCGAAGGCTGCAAACTCAGCTGAAGAGAACTGTGGACCATTATCAGTAATAACGGTCTGTGGAACGCTGTGCCTTGCAAAGATGGATTTCAACTTCTCCACAACCTGGGCTGTTGAGGTAGAGGAAAGCCTAGCCACTTCAATGTACCTGGAGAAGTAATCAACAACCACAATATACACATCCTTGTCCAACTGAAAGAGATCAGCTGCTACGCGTTGCTACGGCCCGTCTGGAAGAGGTGTTGTTAGTAGGGGCTCCGGTGCAATGTACGCCTCCTTTGCACAGACCTCACAGTTCTCTACCTTTTGTTTTATTTGCTTCGTCAATCCTGGCCACCACACTGAGTCATGTGCTCTTGCTATGCATTTTGGCATACCTTGGTGTCCCTCATGGATCACGTCCAAGATCTCCTGTTGCATGCTGATAGGGATGAGTAGGCGATCTCCCTTCATCAGCAGTCTTTCAGCGACCAGCAAGTCCTGGTGATACTGCCAATAGGGTTGAAGGTGAGCTGGCAGCGCCCTTCTATTAAGTGGCCAGCCACTTGCCACCATGTTTTTCAGCTTGGTACACATGTCGTCCGAGTGTTGTGCTCCTTTAATGTGATCCAATCTCCGTGCTGAAGCTGGTAAATGCTCCATCACAAGGTGAATGGATGCTGCCACATCTTGTTCCAGATTTCGTTCCTCATGCCTCTGGGCAGTGTGAATGGGTGCCCTTGACAGAGCGTCTGCTGTGATCAGATTTTTGCCTGGGCCATGCTCAATCTTGCATGTGAATCGCAGCAGGCGCAGTCTGAACCTCAGAATCCGAGGAGGCAGGTCATATAACCTTCTACTTCCCAGCAAGGAGATAAGTGGTTTGGTCTGTCTGTATTAGAAAGTCCATGCCTACTAAATATGTCTGAAAGTGCTCACATGCCCATGTTATGGCGAGTGCCTCTTTCTCTATTTGCGCATATCTGCGCTCCGTTTCTGACATGCTGCGTGATATGAAGGCAACCCGGCGCCAGTCTCCAGAGGGTTGCTTCCGTGATAAGACTCCCCAAGCCCAAACAAAGACGCATCCGCGGCAACAATAGTCTCTCTGTTGAGGCAATATTGGGCCAAAATCATGGGTGAGCTCAACTCCTTTTTTAACTCATCAAACGCTCGCTGTTGTGCACTCCCCCATGCCCAGTCGTTATCTGTCTTCAGTAGATCTCGTAGCGGTTCGGTAAGCTCTGCGATACATGGAGAGAATTTCCCCACGTAGTTCACCATGCCCACGAGTCTTTTGACACCTCCCACATCCTTGGGCTCTGCCATCTCTCTGATTGCCCTGAGTTTCTCCGGGTCAGCCTCTATTCCCTGGGCACTTATAACGTGTCCCAGGAACTTTACTTTGTCAACAGCAAACTTACATTTGCCTTTGTTTAGAGTTAGGCCACGTTCCTGGAGACGCTCTAACACTTAATGCAGTTTTTGGTCATGTTGTGTTCTCATGGTCCCGAACACAAGAGAATGTCATCAGCGTGACACACTGTGCCCTTCAGTCCCATTAACATTTGTGTCAACCGACGCTGAAAATGTTCTGGCGCTGATGAAATCCCGAAAGGGAGCCTCTTGTATCCGTACCTCCCAAACGGGGTGATGAATGTCGTTAAAGAGGCCGATTCTGGATGCAGGGGTATCTGCCAAAATCCGGCAGTGGCATCCAGTTTTGTAAAGATAGCTGCTCCAGTGAGTTTTGCTAGAGTTTCATCCACTGCTGGCAATATGTGTCTATCTCTACAGATGTATTCATTTAACTGAGTCATGTCAGAACATGTTCTGATTTTTCCATTCGGTTTTGGTGCTACCACCATTCCTGCACACCATTCTGTGCTCTCCTCTATGGGCTCGATGACTTCCATTTCCACCATTCTGTTCAGTTCTTCTTTTACTTTTTCATGCATTGGTAGGGGCACTTGGCTTGGTAGTGACAATGCAAAAGGCTTAGCATTACTTTTGAGTTTGATCTTGTATTCACCTTCTATACAGCCCAGTCCAGTGAAGACTATTTGCTGCTTATTTCTGCTTGCCAGTCTTTACTGATATTCTCAACCAGGTGCGTTAGCTGCAGTTCTGTGATGGCAGGAAATCCCAGCAGGGGGGTAGCTAGCTTCTATACAACATAGACTGGCTGTGTTATTGTTTTGCCCTTGTAAAGGTTCACTGCTGGGCCCAGTGGTATACTGTTGCTTTGGTGAGGGAACCATGCTGGTCTTCTGAATATAAGGATGCTGGAATGACTGTAACCTCAGCTCCTGTGTCCAGCTTGAAGGAAATGTCTTTTCCATTCACTTTAATAGTCTTTTTCCATGTTCTGAGTTTGTTGCTTCGTGATACAGCTCCCAGAAGGAGGGTGTGGTCGCTGTCCTCCTCAGTAATTGCCCCCACTCTGCCTGACCCTCTGCTTCTCTTGCTGCACAGTTGTTTAGAGAGTGCCCTGGTGCTTTACCACAGCTTCTACAGCCTTTCAGTCCTTTTTGAGGATCGTGTTGGGTCTTTGTATAACCTGTCTTTGCTGTCTGTTGCTCTTTGTAATTTTTCTTTTTAAATTTTAGAAAGTCTACGTTTGTTTCTTTCTGTTCTGACATGTTTGTGTCTCGCACCCCCGGTTGCTGTCTTTCAATTTCCTCCTGTTGTCTTATCGCTGTTACAGCTTTTTCCAGAGTCAGCTCACTGTCCATCTGAAGTTTTTCTGACAGGCCATGATGCCTGATTCCAACTACTAGTCTGTCACGGATCATTTCATCCTGCAATGGGCCATACAGGCAATGTTCTGCTAGTTTATAAACTGCTGCTATAAAATTTTCCCTGGTTCTTGGCATCTTCTATTGAAACGAGCACATTCATATATTATGTTGTACTTGCAAATAAAATGGTTATCAAAAGCCTCCTTCACTGGTTTATGTTTTCATTTCGTCCGTAGTCAATCCAAGTGTGCTCAAAATATCGTCTGCTTTATCCCCCATTGTTTAAATAAGGGAGTTAACCTGATATTCCTCATCCTTTTTGTCCAGTCCAGCCGCTACTCTGAAGCGTTCAAATCTGCGAATCCAGTTGGGCCATTGGAAAAGTCTGAAAAGTCAAAGTTTTCTGGCGGGTTTATGGAGAAGAGTGCATCCATCTTCAATCTCTCCAGCCTGCTACAAGCCGCTAGCCCGATGCTAACATTAGCTTCAGGTCACTCTTAACTCTTGTACCTTTACAGTCTTGCAAGCTGTCTTCTGGAGGACCTTCACAGTTGGGACGGGATCTGATCCCACTTCTGACACCATGTAATATCCTCAGATATCTCTTATTTAGGCTTGACAGGCTCACCACTCTGTTACTCAGACGCTACTTTATTAGAACTGCTCCGGGGACCACATTTACTGTAACACACATTTTTCCGTTCGTTATATTCATTCTACCTAAACAACTTTTATTCTTACTTCTGCTCCTGTTACAGTCAGAAACAAACACACTGGTTGTGCTGCAAGTCTTTTTCTTTTTTACTCCAAAACATGTTTTTGTCTAAATAAAGGTCATGTTATTGTTCATAGAGTCAAAATTCATGTTGAAGTTAAGTTTGTTTTATCAAGTAGGACCTATGGTTAGCTGGCTCATGTAAAGCATGTTATGTCTTGAAAGAATCAGAATCGGGAATCGATAGGAACCGGAATTCGTCATCGTCGTCTTCTTCCGCTTATCCGTGCTTATTCGCGACCCGGAACCGGAATTGAAACAAGGAATTGGAATCGGAATCGTTCAAAATCAAACGATGGCCAACCCTATAAGTGAATATTGTTTTTTTAATATATTTTATGTGCAGTTTTTTAGGGCTTTTATGTTTTCTGTAAAGATTGGTATGCTGAAAATCATTTAATGTTTTGCATAAAACACGAGGTTTTGGTTAGTAATTGATTGGGAGAATAACAAATGACTGACTTGGAAAGTGTTGATCAGGCAGAGCTTTGCTGCCAGCGTTCCATTGCACAATGGCTTCAACCACGTATATAAAAGTGTTAAGTGATTTCCTAAACCATTGGATGAAATTACACAAACTGACTGAGCTCAAGTTAAGGCTCTTGCAATAGTTTGTGTATGTGTACATGTGTACGTGCGTGTGTGTGTGTGTGTGTGTATGTGTTTGGGGGAGGGTACATTGGAACTTTGTCCCCCCCCAGTTTGAAAATCCTATCTGCGCCCCTGGCCATGCCCCCGATATAGGAAGGCATTGGACCTATAGAAACTGTGACTGTTGTTTATCACTCGTACTGTTGGTTTTCTGTTACCTCAGATGGTGTTTATCTTTTTTTCTGACTGTTTTGGTATTTACTGGGTTCTTCCTCCTCTCAGATAAAGGTGGCAGCTGTGGCTCCAGGCAGCAGGATGGAGGGAGGATCTTGAAGAGTTCTCCTCCACCCAAACCCAAAGCCATCTCTCTGGATCAGACAGAGGTCTTCGCTACCGTCCTCTTCGCCGAGTTCCTTAAAGAACTATCTGCAATCACACAGGAGCACTCCATCTTATCTTACATTCCTGTGGAAGAGTAGTAGTCCACCAAGCCATTGTGAATAACTCGCTTGGTAAACTTTCATTGTCTCTTTCAGGAACTACTTGATGAATCAAACCAGTGACTTTTTTTCAACTATATAAAAACTATTTATTTTTTCTGAGCAGAATGATCCACTATTTGTGTGATTTAATTTTATCAGTCTGTTAAACGTTTGGCAGCCAAATGTGAGCGATCTCCTTCATTTATGCAAACTCCAGGTCCACTGACCAAAGACTGTCGAGCTGCGTTTTTGTTTCAGTAAATATCTGCCCCTTTTGGGTTTGTCTTCTGCAACCAGCTTAACCACGATGTGCAGCTCAGCGTGGTTCTTTAAAGCACTCAGGTGGCCTTCAGAGGAGTTACGTCTATGCATCTGGACAATGGACTTGACTGGCAGCAGAAACACATCCAGGCCAACACTTAAGCCCGGTTCACAGGGCAGGACGCTCATGGCTGTTTGTGTCCAGCACACTATTACCGTAAAACCTTAAAGATAATCTTGTCAGATAATCCTACCTCTTGTGGTACGAGTGGTACAAAAGAACGTGGTGCCTGTTGAATGTGACGTTTAGCCAATCAGAGAGCGAGGTGATGGAAGCATGTAGCACGAACCTCCTCCACCATGTTTGTTCACCATGAAGTCACATTTTATTCCACAAGAATTCCCGTCTGAGTGGAATATATCTGAGTGTGCAGTGAGAAGTATTTGTCCAATTGCTGCATACCACACACTGTCAGACTATTAAGACATATCCATGATTTTTTATCACCGTGTGTGTCATCCCACGGTTTGAAAATTGCCAGACAATTTAAAAATCCTGCCTTGTGAGCCGTGCGTCATCCATTACAGTCCAACAACATACAGCCAACACGGTAAATCAGGCCCAGCCAGGGTGTCACATGATGCATCACATCCTTCGTTTGCAAATGGGATTTAGGATTGTAATGTTTAACCTCCTAATAAAGATAAAATTATTATCTGACGCAGGAGACAACTGCTAGTCAGTGACGGAGACGGGCCAGGGAGCATTTCAGTAACTAATGATAATGATTGATTGAAATTTGTTTCAATAAGGTTGGCTTAAAACTGCAGAATTGTGTCCAAGCTCTCCCAAATTATGTTCACCCAGCCAAAGCAAGTCATACTGGCTAAATCAGAATCAAAACCCTCCAGGTGTGTGGGAAAACGCTGAGATTGACGACACCATTTTTGTTGCCACCTGGTCTGCTTCATCAGTGGTATAATGATGCATGAATGAATAACCATATATAATAGAATACATAATGAACCGGCTGTGTAAAGCTTCAGAAGATGGTGTGAGCACGATGTTTTTAACAATTCAATTGATGTCTTCAGATGGCCATTTAGCGGTTAGGCCCACGTTGACTAGCTGTTAGCATTTCAATCTAACCAGAATCAAGAATAGCTCTAATTCTGATAGTTCAAAGAGTGGGTACCTTTGCCCAGAACATCACTCCAAAAGAGCTAATGGATCTCTAAACTCCACAAAGTTAATTTAGGCAATTCCTTGATTGGGAATGGTTGGGTGTTTTTCTGCTGAGTATGGTGGTACCTCAGGAGTCCTTAAACACGTTTTCTTGTTTTTCATTGAACAGCTGTGGATGAAGGTGTTTTCTAGACAAAGACAGAAACTATAGGCAGGTTGATCAATGCTGTATGAAATTAGCCTTTTAGAGATGCGTAATAATAATAATAATAATAAACATCTTGTATGGAAAAGGTTCCGCTGTAGGAACGCTTTGCAAATCAAGTATATTAATATTGAACCTTTTGTGATGATGGGTTGGGGTATTTAAACTCTTCTCTTCTTGTTTTTACTTATTATTGGGGACAATAATGTGTTTTTAAAGCTGTGATAAGTCTAAAGTCTCACTTCTGGGAGCGTTTTAGTTCTTTATCTGTTGAAAACAAATCAAGTGTAAAATGAACCTGGAGCAACAATTTTTAAGATGCCTTTATTTGTTTAATCCTTTCATTGTAAGTGGTTGATAAGTATGGATGCAAATGAGATTGCATTCTTACAAAACCCCACTCCCCAAACCAGAACTAAACACTCATGATTAAGATTTTATTACAAGTTCACATTTGGTCTGTTCTATTTCATCATAAATGAGTTCTCTATTTCTACATTGGTCTATCATAAAGAGGTTTTCTTTCATAGCAAACCCAGTTTTAAGGAATCAGAATTTTGTAAAAATGTCAATGTTCATTTTATCCTGAAGATTGGAACATTTCTAAAAATGATCTCAACACAGTTTTTATTCTGTTCTTCAGTTTAGTAAAAAGCTGATTTCTAGGTAGATCCTTCTCATTCCCGGGGTCTTTGAGGGTTGGACTTCAACATTCAGATGCTAGGTACTGTAATGTCTTTAATAGATCTAAAAAGATCAATTGTGCCATCAAAGAAACTGATTAAGATCATTGAATTTATTCTCATCTCAACTTTTAACTTATGGTTTTGATAATAAAAGATTTCTAGTTAAATTCTACTTAGATCCTATTTGATTGGATGCAGGTTGTGGGTTTTATATGAAGCTTTTTTTATTCAATATTTTTATTGAGATACCAATGTGCATTAATTTAGAATAACAATACAATCTGTTCCCCTCAAATATTTTTGTTTTTCTGACATGAACAGATACAATAATACCCACGCACACACTTATACAAAATTGAGAAAAAACAAACAAAAACTAAGAAGACACCCAAAACAAACACAAACAACAAAACACATCTAAAAAGAAAAAAAATAGGGGGGTGGGGTGGGGGTCGGGGGGGGGGGGGGGGGGTAATATTACTCAGCAGGTAGAACGTTTAATGACTTGCAATAGTTTACAAAGGGGCCCCAGATACGATCAAATCCTCTGTAATCCCACTTCGCCACAAGGCCTAAATTTTGCACTCTAAGAAATGACATCACGTCTCTAAATCAAAAAGAAGCAGAAGGTGGCTTTGAAGACTTCCAAAGGGGTAAGATGCAGCATCTAGCCAAAAGTGACGTAAAGGTTCGGTTAGACCAGTGTTGTCTGGAAGCCCAAAAGCAGCTAGAAAAGGGTCCATACAGATTTGGGTTCCAAGGGCCTTGGAAAGAATAACTGAATACTGACTCCAGAAGCCATGGAGTCTCGGGCACAGAAAGAACATATGGCCTAGGTCACATGGGCTGGCATGACATCTCTCACACTGATCATTTACATGTGGGTAAATCTCAGTGTTTAACTTTGAAAATGTGTGCGCAATTTTAATTGTCAAAAACTCCAGCGAACCATTAGTTCATTTTGCTCAAATAGAGATAGAGGCCTGCCTCTAATACTGGCCCTCCTTCCAATAAAGGCCTGGAGCTTGATGAGCTTGAGTCAAATACAGGCCCGGGCCTGTATTAGAGGATTTATGGTATACATAAAAGACATAATTGACTATTTATTGGGTTTAATCAATAAGAGTTCCTCCCATGGTTGAACATTTGGAAGAAGAGGGTAGGAGGGGAAGAGAGCAGTAGTGCAATGCCGTGCCTGAAAATAACGGAATAGATTGGTAGCCGGAAGATTTGTTTCTGAACATAGGTCTAAAAAAGTTGAGAAAATGCCATCTTTATAGAGATCCTTAAAAGTATTAATACCATGTCGCTTCCACTGTACATAGGTACCGTCAATGAGACCAGGAGTAAACAGATGGTTCTGTGTGATGGGCATGTGTACTGAAGCAGAGGTGTCCTTAAAATGACTCCTGAATTGTGACCAAATCCTTAGACTAGACTGTACCACGAGGTGTTTTGTAAAATGAGAAGGCTTGAGTGGTAGTGGAGAGAACAATAAAGCTTGTAAGGATGAGGAAGTGCACGACAGACGCTCCAGTTTGCACCACAGCAGTCCTTGAGATTCAAGCCAATGAGTCAATTTGTGAATATGAGATGACCAATAATAAAATAAAAAATTAGGCAAGGCAAGACCACCATCAAATGTCAGTCTCTGTAGTAATGATTTCCTCTCCCTGGGATGTTTCCCTCCCCACACAAACGACATAACTAGCTGGTCCAACTTTTTGAAAAAAGCTTTAAGTAAAAATATAGGAACATTCTGAAACAAAAATAACAATTGAGGCAAAATGTTCATCTTCACTTATCCGACCGATTAGGGACAAAGGTAGCGAATTCCATCTCTGAAAATCTGATTGAATTTGAGTGAGTAAAGGGGAGAAATTTGATGAGTATAAAGAAGACAAAGCACGAGTCACGTTAACTCCCAAATATTTAAAGCCAGAGGGGCTAAGTCTAAAAGGGATGTCAGATTGTTTAAGTGTAAGACTTAAAGAATTTATGGGGAAACATTCACTTTTAAGGAGATTTATTTTGTAACCTGACAGAGTGCCAAACTTGTTTAATAACAACATAATCGATGGTATGCTAGATAAGGGATCCGAAACATACAAAAGCAGGTCATCTGCATACAAAGACAATTTTATTTATTTCTTTTTTATTTCTTAGCCAACAGGCTGCAATATATACCAAGACGGTTGCAAGATAACCCACTAGGTGAGTCTTGGTTAGACATAGAACAGACACTTTGCAATACGATAGAGCTTTCAGATTTACCATTTATTAGCTCAAGCATACGAAAACATGAAGGCTTCAAAAGTATTAGTATCAGCACCTCTCTGACAGCATGGTGGGAGTATCTTAAAATGACCGAGTCTTCACTAGTACCATGCAGATGCACACCTGTCTGGAATAATCCTGATATTTTGCAAAATAATAAAATGATGAACCTTCCGGACTGGAAAAATAAAGGAATCCTATACCTAGAACACATATATGAAGGATTGGACTTCATCCCATTTAATCAAATAGTCTCCCAATTTGGAAGAGATAAGAATAGCTTTTTAGAATATCACCAAATTAAATCTGTAGTCAAGCAAAAATTTAAGCTCAATAAAATAGAATTACAAACACCACCAAGGGTATTAGACTTCTATAATCTCAAACCCCCCAAACTACTGTCTAAAGTATATAAGACACTGTCCAAAATAGACGATAGAATAGCAATCCCTATTGAAAAATGGGAGGTGGATCTATCAGTCAGCTTTGACCAGAACTTCTGGTCCCAAACTTGTTTAAAAACTTTTACAATGATCAGACACTCCTATTTACAATTAATTCAGTACAAAATTCTACACAGAGTACACTATACAGGTCATCGGATGTTCAAGATGGGGTTTGTGTCGTCTGACACCTGTACACACTGCACAAACAACATTCCTGACAATTACATTCATGCACTGTGGTCCTGCCCACCTGTCCAGGAATTTTGGGGTAGAGTATGTGAAGAACTGTCAAAGTCTCTGAAATGTCATATCCCAACCACCCCCTCTTACTGGGAAACCTGGATGATGTCCCGATTGAAACATCTTTGGTTCACGTGGTTCTGACTGCCATATGCATTGCTAAGAAAACTATCCTCTTGAATTGGAAAAATAGAGAAACTCTCTGCATTAACCAGTATCTTTTGTTAGATCATATTACACTTCATATAGCCTCTGCTTCCACTTCAAATCAATCTCTCTGGGCTCCTTTGATCGGTTCCATCACATAGCGATGATGGAGGACCATTGATGTTGTCCTGCGGGATGGTGTGGGTGGGGGGGTGGAGGGTCTGAGTTTGGAGTATTCGGATGTTCCCTGGAGGTGGGTTCACTGGGGATGTCTGGGACTGGGGGGCCGTTGCCCCCCTCTGGAGGTGCTTGGGTTGCCTCGGGGGGTGGACTACTGGCGGTTGTTAGTGGGGGCCCCTTGGAGGTCTTGGTGGTGGCCATGGGTCACTGCCTGGCGGCTGCATTGCCCCTGGGCGGGTCTGGGTGGGGGCCTGGGGGCTCGGGGTGTTGGGGTGGCTGGCTCCGTGTGGGGATCTGGGCGGGGCCTTGGGGGTCGGGTCCTGACATGTATGCTGCTGGGAAGAAGGCAGGAACATGCAGCAGTGCCTGGCCCAGGTTCAGGGGCCTTGGGTGGACCTTGGCTCCTCTGCTGTCCCATCACAGGGGAGGGGGAGGACCCAACCTTACCTGGATGTCCTATGTCTTATATATTCTGGAAGTTGTGCAAATGCAGGGATGGGCATAGATATTCTGCTGGGGTGGGGCTGGATTGGTGCCCTCACAGACTCCGTGAGGCTCTGTAATGCTGCTGCTTTGGGCCCTGGTAGGATGGGCTGGGGTCTACATGCCCTGGGCGGCAATTTGACAACAGAGGTGCCTATTGGGGCCAGTGGGGGAGCTGGCGCCCTGGAGGGCTAAGCCCAATCAGCCATTCCTCCCCATCCCCGCATATTTCTCTCCTCCTGCTCCCTCACATCATCACACAAACATGCACATAGGACCTTGGGGGTGGACAAGTCAGGGAGTGCGGGTATGGACCCCATTTCCGCATTCCTGTGGCAACCTGCCCCCCAATTTTATTTGCACCTTATAGACTTCCACCGACGACATTCCATGCAAACACACACTTAGGAGTGAGCACATTCAACGGCATTTGGCAGGGGGATTTCTCAGCCCCTCCCAAGTGCCGGTGCCCACTTCCAATTTTAAACTGCACTTAGACACCGAGGGCTGTGGGTGCAAGTGGGGTGGTGCGGTGGCATCAGCTGGCATAGGCCAGACAATGCCCGCACTGCCCGCTCACCACAGCCATGGAATACACCTCATGGCTGAATGCTCGTCACCAGCATTCAGACATCAATTCTGCTTGCTTCACAGCCAGACAGGACACCGTGAAAAAAAAAAAAGTCAAAATGTGCCTGGAAATACTCAATAACTAGACTCTGCAGGAGCTGTGTTCGGTGCGACCTACGCCATGTTCACATAAACCGGAAGTCTTTTATGTGAAACTTATCGCGACACCTACAAATGTAAATATGATTGTCAGATTAGCTGATGAGTCCTTTTTCTTTGGTTGTTGTTGCACTTTATCAGCGCTTTCATCCCACGGTGCCACTCCGACCATCCAGACAACACCGCAGAGGGATAAAACCGGTTTGTACTTCATAGTTTCAAATTCCAAAGATTTCTTGAATGTTCATAATTTCAGGCTGTTACGTGTCGATGTTTGAGAAAAAAGAATGCATATTTGAATAAAGACAATCAGAGATATCTGAATGTGTTCCCCCTTTTTGCCGTTTGATAAGAAGGGAAAATGTCAGATACACTTATGTACCTTTAAAGAACGAGATAAACACCTGATCGTTCCACATGAAATCGGGGAAAATGCATCTATCAGTAAATTATTACAGCTCTGAATGTCTGTCCTGTCATGTGAGGTAAGCATCTACGTTTCTGATCTCCATACGGGAGCAGAAGTCTTCCACCAACTCATGGACGAACTGAACTAAACCACCTTCAACCATAAAGCAGAAGATCCGCTGACACCTGAGAAGAGGCATCACTAGAGTGTGTGACAAGCTCATAACATGCTGTGAGCACCAGGGGGGGCTCACTGACCACCATAAAGTGGATCACTGTGTCAGCAGTTTCCTCTTTTGACTCACAAATGACCATGAAGGCCAATCTGCCAGGAGCTAATGGTGCATTAAGTCATATGATTAGTGTTGCGTTAAATTATGTGCATATCCTTCCAGCGGAAACAGTCTTGAGCCCCAGTTATCAAGCATCCCTTACTCTAAAAAGTCTGTTGTTCTTGCAGCTTGAGCGTCTTTGCTCTTAGCCAATAACAAACTGTGATGAAGCAACTTTATTAGTTTTCAACACAAACATATACACACACAGATTTGTTGTCTAATTACATTTTAAATGTTCATATTTTAGCCATAACGATGTCCTCAGCACCCACCACCGCGAGTCTTCTGCTTCAGGATCTCCATCACCAGGACTGGGTCAGCTTTCCCTCTGAGTTCCCTCTGAACCAGGCCCATTAGCTTGTTCAGAACTTTAGCGTTTCCATTTCGGATGGCATGAACCTGAAATCAGGTAACCCCAAAATATCACAACGCTTCAAATAAAATTCTACGTTTACTTGTGATCTCAAATCTGACCTCTGTTGGGTGAGAATCCACCACTTTCTGGCAGATGTTGTGCAGCTGTGTGGCGTCACTCACAAGCCCCAAATCCTGCTCCTGGATGACCTGCTCGGCCGTCTTACCTGATGAGCCCCACATCACCTGGAACACCTAGAAGAAAAGCATCAGCTGCTTAGCGTCTGCTCACAAACTGAGAGGGTAACTACACAGTCTGTGGAGCAGACCGACCTGCTTGGCACCTGAAGAGGAGACGCGTCCTGTTTCCTGCAGCTCCAGCAGCTCGGCCAAGGCAGCTGGAGAGATCGGGCTGAAATCAAATTAAGGGCCAATTTAATCACACTTTAATAGATGGACTTGGATTAGTGGAATAAATGATGGGGGAGATTGGGAGAGACAAAGTGGGGAGAAAGGACAAAAACAGTAATGAGACTAAAAAGTTTTAGTCTTCAAAAGGCAAGTCAGTCTTGGCCAAATGCCTCAGACAGGACACAGTGGGACATCCATCCTCATCAGCTCAAGTTGTTTCAGTTACATCAGAGGGGACACGTTCCTCAGGTTACCCTGCACCTGCTCTGGTGGAAAACACCATTAACGTACAACAACGAATGAACAAAAAAAGCCATTGCCTGGCAAAGGCAAAATATTCCTAAACAATTAAATTACAAGGGGTGGGCCTAGAAATGTTTATAAGGGGGTTTCCCCCAGCTGCTTGCCCACCCGCCAGGCTAAGCGACTTGCCCCACCCCCCTCTCCGACCCTACCGTGTCCGCTGACATGAACGGCGCAGCGAAACTACAGCCCTCCATCAGCTGAGCGCTCCACTAACTTCATTAGTTTCAGTGTTGGAATAAACTACAGACAGTTTAAACTCTTGATGCATAAACTACCTAGGCTCTTCTAATCCCAGCGTTTCCCTGTCGGCTGCTAAAGCAGGAAATAGGGGTAGGAGACTATTTTCACATTCAGCCAGCGTGTGACTGATCGTGTCAACTTGACCTTGAAGAGGAGAGAAACTGAAATGATTGAAAACTCTTTGATCAGGTAAAAGCTTCCAGGTGAAAACACCAGTAATTCACATCATCAGTACTGCTTTGTTTGTGTGTTTCTCACCTCTGGCTTACACTCATGTCCTGCTGCTTGAGCTGACCCAACAGCTCGTTCATCACCCAGCCAATCACCTTCCTGGGCTCCTTCCTGGTCGCCTTCATCACCTCCTCAAAGTATTCCATCAGCCCTTCCTCATTCTGCAGCAGCAACACAGTGGGGAAGCTTTATTTTGAATGTCATTTAGCATACATTTAACTTAACTGGGGTTGAATCAGTCTTCTGCAAACACAAACATCTCACTCCACTCTGACCTGAGGGTTTTATGAGCCACACAGCTACAGCGCGAACGCTTGTTTTCAGACACTTCGTAACTCACCACCAGAGTGAAGCTGTGCTCTGGCAGGATGCCGTACGCCTGCACCAGATGCTCCCTTTTGACGCTGGGTAACTCTGGCAGCCCTTCCTTTATCTTCTGCACCACCACCACCTGGCTGGAGTCCACGCCAGGGGGCAGTGTAGCGTTATCCTCGAATACAATCAGAGGGGGCAGGTTGGGCTCCGGCATGAACCTGGAGAATGGGAGGAGAGGAGACTTATGATGAACTCAGAGGTAAAATGGACGGTTTTTGTTGTAATGCTGTAGAAAACACTGCTGCTTTTCACTGGCTCCCTCAATCATGACAATCGATTCTCCTTCAACCTGTCCGTCAATCAATCCACCTTCTGTGCTGAAAACACACACACACACACACACACACACACACACACACACACACACACACACACACACACACACACACACACACACACACACACACACACACACACACACACACACACACACACACACACACACACACACACACACACACACACACACACCAGGGTCTTTACATCAAGTGGTTCTCAAGGCTCTCAACCCGGACCCTCTCACACTGATGATAAGCTCAAACACTAAAATATGCTCGATAATACTTTCTCACCTCCTGAGAGTTTCACAAGAGTTTTAAAAACTTTTAAGTATTTAAAAGCAAAGCACTCATGAAGCTTAGAAACTTCAAGGCTTTTACAGGATTTTAATGGTTTAGAAGCACACAGGACTGGAAATAACAAACCCCATCTCACCGGTAATCCTGGAGTCCCTCTTTGTCCCTCATTGGGATGGTCTCCCTGAAGGTCAAACATGTATCACATTAAAATAAATGTGATAAAAACAGCGTGGTAGATAAAAGAGAGTAAAATTGATAAAGAAAACAAAAAAGTAGAAAAAACTTATTTAGGTAGAGGAAGTTAGCAGCCACCCATGACTTCACTTCCCTTAAACGGTCCAATAACGCAGATGCAGAGCCTTCTGCTCCCCGAGACAAAATAATAGAGGACCATGTCATTAAAAAAGTCACTCATGCATAAAAGTGGGACCAACAGTGATCTTTTACTTTTTTATGTATTTTTTGGCGATTTGACTGGTTAGATTTTTTATTTGTTGCATAAATACAGTTTAATAAAATAGAGAAAAGGAAGAATGGCTGGAGCAAACATAGTTAAATAGATGCAAACAAAAAGAATGAAAGTTTTCACAAAAAAATGTCTTCTTCAGAGTTTTGTTTGCACATATTAACTATATTCAGGACAGTTCCTTTTCTCTTTGTTGATGTCGCTTGGGCTGTTGGAGCACCTGTGCTGGATGATGTGCTTTTCTATTACAGTTCAATAAAACTTTAGCCAGCTTAAAAAGGGGAAATCCTAAGAGGAAAGAAGATTTTTTTGGACATTTCAGGATATCTGCCCTTTGTTAAAAACTAAAATGATCATTTAAATAAAATAAAACAATGAATGAACATGTGTGCAGGGATTTCCTTCACCCTGGTTGTTTTTAAATGTGCACCATCAGATCTGGAGCCAGACTGATCAGAAAGAGTTGTGCTGCTCGACAGGCCCTCGCCGTGCACCTGGAACATGCGAGCGCTTGTGTGAAGCAGCCAGAGCCCTAGAAGATCAAGGCCTCAGATGCGTGGCAGCGGACTCATTTAGTTAGCTACGAGCTGCACATAGCTCACAGATAACGCAGGCCGACAGCAGCATCCAAATGGCTCTATTCATCATCATTACTACAATGGTTCATCCTCAGCAAGGCTTGGGACTAATGAAGCGGGCAGCGATCCCAGGCTGAGGGTGTTGGCTTCACGGTGCAGCTTTTTCATCCACTTACCCTGATTTGGAATCATATGCCCGGGTCTCATTGTGCACCGTCCCTCCTCTCTGCATGACACCAATCTGTCTCTGGATCTCGTAGTCTGGCGAGGAAACACGGACACAATAGCATCCATGTTTTTTATTCGGTGGTAAATGCCAAACACCTGCTGGTAATCCTCGTGTCCCTGACTTCTGTCCAATTATAACTCTGACAAAAATAAATGTTTTTCCTAAGGGCTGTTAAATGCCACTCCTGCAGCAGGATAAAAGTGGCTCGTGGCTTTATTTGGTCAATCATTCTAAGGATGTGTCACAACTTGTTTGCAATGATTAAACTTTCTGTCTGGGACTCAAATCCACCTCCGTCAGTGAAACTACAGCTGATGTAGTAGATGAAGGAAGTCACTTATCTGTAATCTCACGTCTAACTCTGCACGACTGGCTGTCACGGTGTTACTCCACAAGTTCCTGTCAAAATCAGCCTCGCTGGCTTAGAAAAACATATTTTTAAAAAACTGTTTATTTTTCGAATCAAAACTAAGATAGCTGAGTTGTAGTTGTGAAGATGTAAAGTCTGGAATTAAAGGGGACATTTTATAAAGCTCACATTTGTTAAAGGTTCTCTAGAAATAAGTTTTTCTACAAATATAAACCGTTATTTAAGCTTCTACATATGATATGAAACATTGTTGTGGCTCACAATGACCCAGGAGTCCCGTCTAACGGCCACATACAATCCCATAAGAGAGCATTACCATGAAAAGACCGGTTTGTCGGCCAGGACATGAATATTGAACAAGCTTTCTTCTGATTGGCCGGTTCACCCCAGCTGGCCAATGTCCAGGGGAGGGGTGGATGGATGGATGGTGGAAAAAGAGGAAAAAAGTTAGTTTATTGTAGGTTGTCTTGCAGGTTTTATGGATGCGCGTGTCTGGTCGATGCTAGGGTGGGGTGGACAAGTACCACAAGGACCAGGAGGACAACGGCCACAAGCTGTGGATCTATCTGGCATTGATTTAAAGTTTAGATATTCCCAGTACATCCTGGAAAGTGAGTGCTTCAACATTCTTCTTTGTTGTTTTTCTCTTGTCACACAAAGGCATTAGTAGCTGGGGCTAGAATTAACAGTAGCTCAGACTAGCATTAGCTGTAGCTCTGGAAAGCATGAATAATAGCTCAGGCTAGCTTTAAGAGGCCCTGGTTAACATTATAGTAGCTTTGGATAGAGTTACCAGTAGCTCTTACTACGGTTAGTGGTAGCTCTGGCTTAGCAGTTGCTCGAGTTAGTGTTAACATTCACTCAAGTTAGCGTTATAGTAGCTCGAGCTTAAGGTGAACAGTAGCTTCAACTAGTGTTGGGAGTAGCTCAGGCTAGTGTTAGCACAAGCTCAAGCTAGCAGTAGCACTAGTTCAAGCTAGCATTGTTTTGGGTTCAGCATTACCACAACCAATGTTTATGGACCCTTTGCACCTACGTCGCCTAATCACATGGGTCCGCCATATTGGTTGGTAAAAGCATGTAAACAGTGAGCAACACGAGTACTATATGAAGAGAAAAGTAGTGCCTGAGATTGTTTTGTTGTTGTTGTTTTTGTAATGTTCAACACGGCTTAACTAGTTCAACCCCAGTTTAGTTATTGGAAGAAGTAGAGCCCCTTAGTGGGGTAACAGAGAGGAAAAGTGGCGACTGAGGTTGTTGATGTTTGGCCAGTTTAGTCTGGTTTCTACTAGTTCAAGCCCAGTTCACTTGTGGGTAGATTTAGCACACCTAGTGGGACTCATAGAGAGCCGTATTTACAAAGTTAAGTGTTTACTAGTTTAAAGTGTTTACTAGTTTACAAACGTTAGCTTACGTTCTCCCTGCTGCTGTTCATTGATGTAAACAAGCGGCCGACTCCTCCAGAATTCACCCCGCTGGATTTACAACATCATGTGATAAACAGTTTCACTTTGACCTGGAGCTGGTTAAAGAAGTTTGGAACGCTACCAGTGTTTGTCCCTGATGGTGTCATCAGGTTTAGATGCTAGTCACACACCGAGGCGGGACATGCTATCTAACGGTGGCGCTCATCTTATTAAATAAATAACGTAGTTTAAACCACGTAATCCTACACTGGAACAATGTATATTATGACCATAGGAGACAGAGACAGCAGTGGCTCCTTGGTACGCTACACTAGACACCCCAAGCTGCCGTTATACAACAAGGTGAATGTGGTTTTAAATTCTAGGACATCTTTAATATTTTAATATTTTTGGGTATCCTACCTATAGCCCTGGCCAGATATCGGATGCTGTTGATGTTTTTCACCTCCGTCCTGACTCCCAGCGGCTCTCCTGGTCTGTGTACAGACACATTAGCATCCACTCTCAGCTGGCCCTCTGAGGATGAAGGAGCACAGAGGTGCATACACAAGGAGAAATAATTTTATGTTTAGAAATGTAGCGGCTTGTGGAGAAAACACAGAGATGCACACAGAATGATTTCCATACCAGACATGTTGCCCTGACAGGTACCCAGGGCTTGCAGGATGAGCTGAAGCTCTCTGACAGCTGCAGCAGCCTCCTCTCCACAGCTCATGTCTGGCTCCATCACCAGCTCCATTAGACCTACACCTGATGCATGTGGAGAGCTGTGTTTTACATCCGCTCTGAGGCAAACCTAAACTCTCGTTTTATTAAGAAACTTTAGGTTTCATCTCAAACTTTTTATTTTGCACATAACAAGTTTGAATGCTATAAAGTCTATTTAAAGTCTAAAAAGCTTCAGAAACTGGTTGCATCTGACAAAACTGTTCTAACAGTTTATGGATTCATCCTGTGACCAATCAGTGTAAGTGAATCAAAAACCACCAACAAAAAGACTTGTTAGGAGACTTCTTTGATCTCACATAGGTGTCAAACATCAGAAACTTTGGAGGAACTGAAGGTTTTCTCATCCCTAACATTTGACTTTAGACAGTTTCAACAATGCTGGAAGAATCTTCTGGAAAACAATGAGTCTATTTCTGGAGAATAAGCTGCTCTACTTGGCTGCGGCGCCACCGCGGAAGCCAAATCAACACTGATCTGTCCCACACATCTCATTTGTTGGGAGGAAGCAGCTCACTAACCTGCTCTGTTAAGATCTATGAGCGTCTGGCTGTGGACGTCATCGTGCAGACTCTTGCCGCTGTCCTGCTCCAGCTGGATCTGCTTGATCTGCACGTGCTTCCTCACCACCTGGCTTCTCTTCTTCCCTCCAAGGAAGCTGTAAGTCAGCACGCCGTCGACTGCAACGGGCCGGCGTTGCTGAGTGATCTGGTATCCGGCCTGATGAAGAAGGAAATTTAAAATGTCTAATATTAAAACAATTCAAAAGCTCCTTCTCTTTGTGATGCATTTCATGTTCTTAAATATCCAAGCCTGTTTAAGGTAATGTGCAAACTTTCCGACTCCAGTTAAGACCAAATGTCAGAACAACACCTGAAATGGGAAATCGGCCGTGTGTTTATGTGAAAGTGAGGTGGGCTGTAATGATGGTGGAGGAGTGACGATGTTCTACTCACTAAACTTAATATATCATGTACACTCCCTTTTCCTGTGGCCCTGAGCAGTCCTTTCTAATGTTGCCACGGCAACCGCATCACAAGAACTAAGCATCAATCACAATTTTGTTAAAGAGAGCGAGGGCGTGGGAGAAAAAGATAGAAGTGGGGGTATTAGTCACTGGCTTTCTGTGCAGTGACACAATAATTCACCTCCACACAAGAAAAAATAAACTAATTGAGGATTTCTCTTATTACTCTCATTTTGTGGTGGATTTGTTCTTTAAATCCGTCAAATTTGGCAGATGTTGCCAGAAATTTCTTGTTTATCTACTTAAATCTGTTTTAGGATTTTGTCTCTGCAAGTAAAAAAAAATCAAACATCTCAAAATGTCCTTTGAGCTCCAGCTTTAAAAACCCGTCCCCTGAATGTGGTGTTCTCTGTTAACTGGAGCGTTTGTAGCTGCTCTGTCTCCTGACTTCAGTCTGAGCTTTGATTTCTGTCTTTCATTGCACACATCCAAATATTTTCACACAGAACAGACAAACACATCCTTTAGATGTTTAATATCTAATGGAGATGTTAATCATCTAGATAGGAGTGGAGCCGCTTCGGCACGTTATTAAAACACCGTTTTTGAGGTTTGTCATTTAAAATGTCTTTGTCCTTTTATCTTCACATTTTAATGTATTTTTTTTCTTTTTTCATCAATTTTAAATTTGATCTTTTTAATATCTTTTTTTTTCTTCTGAAGCACCTCGTGATTTTTATCTTGAGAGGTCCTATAAAAACATTATTTATTCTTCTAATTTGGAGCAAATTATATAAGATGGACTGCAGTATTCATCTTGTTAGCTGTGGTAGCCTAGACATTTTAACCAACCAGCAGCATTATTATTTAGATTTTGCTCGGCAGGTCGATCTAGCCCCGCTCCATCATAGCCTCAGCAGATCTACCATCAGCCTGAACAATTTTAGGTTGGGACAATCAACGTTCTATAGAGAGACAATGGGTTGGCTCAGCTGAACTGTGACTGAGAAAAACTACAAAGATGGTGTCGGCTCAAGAACGGTGCTCATTTTAAACGGCTTTGGCATCAACTTTGTGTGATTTAGACCTGGGCTTGTCTTTAGCCCTTTTTAGAAGACACACCATGCCGCCACGGTGTGAAAGCGTTGTGGCGACACGACAACGTGGGACACTTTTGCTACATTCGTTCTACCACGCTTGGTAGTAATATTGCTGCAACACCTGATTTGTGAATGCATATTACACTTTGGTGCAACATGAGTGCAGAGTTGCTGCCGAGCTCCGGCCAGCAACTAAATTTATAAATAAACGTAAACACAGGCAGCAAGTTTGGCTTTTGTTAACAGAACCAGCTGAGATGATGAACTGGGTTGTTTCATAAAAGAGGCTTCAGACATGAGCAGGAGGAACCTAAAGCAGAATGAAGAAAGAATGACATCCTGTGGTCAAATGTGGGTACTGCAGTCCATGTTTCTAAACATCCCACTTCGTATGTTGCATGCTGTTGCCTGTTACAGCCAAGAGCCGGAAGATTCTAGATGACAAGCAAAGATGAGTCTTACACAGTGAGCTGATAAGTTAATAAATACATTTCATTGTAATATTGAGGTTTTGGTAACTGAAAAAGTAGTTTGAGTTATTTTCAAAGCTGACTATTTTTTCACCATTAGCGATGTTAGCTCATCGTTAGCCACTAGCGTTGTGATTTAAACCTATTAAACTGGTTTGTGTAACACTGAGACACATCACTTAGTGGAAGCAGCTGATGAGTTTAATGGAAATAATTTTAAATCAGCAGGAAGTGTTCTTCATTTGGCCAGAAACCATAAAAAAATTAAAGAATGAGCATTGGGTTTCCAGATGATTTTTAAACACATATTAGGCTTCAGGGAACTAAAATAAGCTTTCCTGCTGATGTCAAAGGAAAAATAAAAACTGTAATTATGCATTTTCATCCCTGCTGTGTTCAGATTCTGAACAAGATAAGCTAAACGTCCAGATGTCCAAAAAAAATACAAAATAAAAAACTCCTAGAGCTTCTGGACAAAGTTTAAAATGTCATGCCTTTTCTTTTCCTGGAGAGATGATAGTAAAAATATGCACAGCTGCTTCCTTCCAGCAGCCACACACACTGACTAGAAAACAACCCATGAGTATCTTTCAGTCTGATCACATCTTACCAGACACAAAATAAGGACTCTTTCACGCCACTTCTGAGCAGTTTTATTACAATACGAGCAGACATCTTTGGTTAATAATTACACTCCTTATTATCCTGCCTAGAGCTGCATAATCTTTTAGGGCAGGATGGGTTTTAAAAATTCAGAATGTTAAACTCTCCAACACCTTCTGTCAGAGGATTTCTTTATTTTTTAGGAAAAGGTCTCTGCAGGGTAAGTCACTGTGGAGCAGCCATGACATTTAGTCTTTTCCTATAAAATGTCACTCATAATGCCAGAGAAATTAGCCGCGGGCTCTGAGGGGCTGTGAGACCTGGATGGGCCAGTGCTTCATTACAGGAAGCAGAATGAGCTCCAGTCGGGCAGAACCGGGACATTTTTAGCAGAATCACAGAGATTTCCACACATGTTTTCTCTGGTGTTGGGATTTGCTTTTACTAAACTTTTCTTTCTGCTTTTGGTCTCTGCTTTGAGTATGATAACATACTGGTAACATAGCAGTAGCATAGAGAATGTGTTGTTAAGGTGGGGTTTGCTCATCATGTCTGAAAGTGAAAAAAAGAGAAATCTTTACATTTCTCTTAAACCCACTGACAACAAACGAGCTTTCATTCATTTTTAACTGTTTGTTCATTCATAAGCAGTCTTGCCAGGAGGTCCCAGAACACTCGTAGAGCTGATGATGGTTAGTCAAGCCTTGAAAACCCAAATCAGCCAGGGCTGGACCCATGAAACGCTGATCCTAATTATTAAAAAATAACGATATAAACCAGGCTTTGCAGCCCTAACAAGATTAATTCTAAGATCTCTGCAGATAAAAGACGAAGAAATAAAAGATTAAAGTTAATGATAGAGTTCAACTGTGCTTCTCTAGAGCAGCGGTGTCCAATCTTGGTCCTTGAGGGCCACCGTCCCACAAGTGTCAGAAGTTTCTCTGCTTCAAAGCACATGCTTTTAATCAGTAGACATGAGCGGCACTAAATCAATGAGACAGTGAAAAGTTGACCCCCCCCCCCCACACACACACACACACAACTGATTCCCAAATTATCAGGAGAAGCATGGAGAGACGCAGAAATAACAGAAATTTTAAAAGTGCACAGAAGTCAAGAGCGGGTGAGAAAGTAAGGCAAGTCTCCATTAGCTGCTTCAGTAAGGCGTTCATAACCTACACGACTATTCTTATCAATGTAATTGCAAAGAAGAACGATGAAGTAATAACAAATGGTGGAACTATACTTATCTTCTGTGGTGGAACTCTGTTTCTGAAGTACATGGGGCAAAACGTGATGTGAAAATTCTCCCAGATGAGAGGCCAGTACTTTTCATCACGGGTGTACCTCATTATACGAGACAAAATGAGAGAAAAATCCAGAAAATCACGTTGTCTGACTTTTTTAATTATTTATTTGCAAATTATGGTGGAAAATCAGTATTTAGCCATTAATGAAGGTCCATCTCAATACTTTACTACATACTCTTTGTTGGCAGTGACAGAGGTCAAACATTTTCTGTAAGTCTTTACAAGGTTTTCACACACTGTTGCAGGTATTTTGGCCCAATCCTCCATGCAGATCTCCTCTAGAGCAGTGATGTTTTGATGATGTCTCTGGGAAACAGTCTGAACTCCAAAGATTTTCTATGGGATTGAGATCTTGAGACTGTCTAGACCACTCTCTAGGACCTTGAAATGCTTTACAAAGCCACTCCTTCGTTACCTTGGTGGTGTGTTTGGGGTCATTGTCATGCTGAAAGACCCAGCCACATTTAATCGTCAATGCCCTTGCTGGTGGAAGGAGGTTCTCACTCCAGATCTGATGATACGTGGACTCATTCATTTTTTCCTTTCCATGGATCAGTCGTTCTGGTCCCTTTGCAGAAAAACAGTCTTGTACTACAGTATGCCTGGTGTTCTTTGGATGCAACTCAGCATTCTTTCAATCATGAGTAGAGCTTTTACCCATAAAGTTCTAATTTGGTTTCATCTGACGTTCTCCCAGTCCTCTTCTGGATCATCCAAATGCTCTCTAGCAAACTAGAAGCTGCACATGTACCGACTTAAGCACAGGGACATGTTTGGCACTGCAGGATTTGAGTCTCTGGTGGTGTAGTGTGTAACTAATGGTAGCCTTAGTAACTTTGGTCCCAGCTCTCTGCAGGTCATTCACCATGTCCTCCAGTGTAGTTCTGGGATTTATGCTCACCATTCTTGTGATCATTTTTGACCCCACAAGGTCAGATCTTGCATGGATCCCCTGATCAAGGGAGATTATCAGTGGTCTTGTATGTCTTCACTTTCTAATAATTGCTCCCACGGTTGATTTCTTCACACCAAGATGCCCACCTACTGCAGACTGAGTCTTCCCAGCCTGGTGCAGGTCTACAGTTGTGTTTCTGGTGTTCTTTGACAGCTCTTTGGTCTTGGCCATGGACTTCAGAGTGTGACTGATTGAGCTTGAGGACAGGTGTCTTTTATACTGATGAACAGGTGCCATTAATAAAGGTAACAGATGGAGGACAGAGGAGCCTCTTACAGAAGAAGGTACAGGTCTGTCAGAGCCAGAAATATTGCCTGTTTCTAGGAGACCAAATACTTTTTTCAATAAATTCTTTAAAAGTCAGAAAATGTGATTTTCTGGATTTTTTTTCCTCATCTTGTCCCTCATAGTTGAGGTATACCTATGAAGAAAATTACAGGCCTCTCTCATCGTTGTAAGTGGGAGAACTTGCACAGTTGGAGGATGACTAAATACTTTTTGCTCCACTGTGTGTACAACAGAAGGACAAGAGAGACAAACTCACAGGAAGGTCAGCGTAAAAGTAGTGTTTCCTGTCAAAAAGGGACTTCTTATTAATGGTACAGTTAAGAGCCAGTCCGGTCATCACTGCTGCTTCAACACATCGCCTGTTGAGAACCTGTGGACAGATGGGAATATTAACTGATAATCTGGAAAAGTAGAAGGTCAGCCTTTTATAACCGAGTTAAACATCACTTACTGGTAAAGTACCGGGGAGTGATGCATCAAAGAACGAAACCTGGGAGTTTGGAGGAGCTGAGAAACAAACCGGAGAGCCAGAGAAGAGCTTGCTGTTGGAGGAAATCTGGGCATGAATTTCCAAGCCAACAACTCCAACAAGCTTCTCTGAAGAGCTGAGGTGAAAAACACAAAGAGAAAAATTTATCTGGTAGCCTGAAGAAAAACAGACCAAATAACTGTAACTGTGTCTGGCTCACACATCCACTCTAATCAGATCACCTGCACTGACCCAGTTTATTAGGGGTGCTTTACAGAGAAACAAGTCCAATTCATTCAAATGACTCAAATGACAATCTGTCACCAAAGATATGCTTTAAGTGGACAAATACATCAGAGGCACACCCACAAACTTTTCATAGGGGTGGCCAGATGGGGCCAGTGAAAACTTTAACAACATTTCAGCTATTGCAATTATTATTATTATTAACAGTATTTATTGTTTTAGCACTTTAGAACAATTTAATTTTATTTAATTAGTAACTCTGACAAAGACAGCAACGCTGAAACATTGGTTCATTTATATGCACTGACTAAATACTTTTACTTTGACCCGAGTACTCCAGCTTTGTTTTTCCACTTCAGTTTAATTTGCCTGTTTCTGTTTTAAAAATGTATTCACAAAAACCATATATTCTCAAAAATTAGCATATTGTGATAAAGTTCATTATTGTCTGTAATGTACTGATGAACATTAGACTTTCATTTACTGTAATTTCCGGCCTACAAGCCGCTATTATTTCCCTGTGCTTTCAAGCCTGCGGCCAATATCATGGTGCGGCTCATGTGTAGATTTTTGTTGGCCAACAACCACTAGAGGCACTCTCCAGCAGTAAAGTGAGACAGGCACGGCAAAACGTTATGCGCAGAAGACACTCTTTGATTTAAAGGGGCACGTTTACACATCAGACACACCCTTGTCATGGAAAACACGCGGAGGAATGCACATGCTGCAGCTTTCAAGTTAAAAGCGATCGATCTGGCCATCAAACAAGGAAACAGAGCCACTGCACGGGAGCTTGGCATAAATGAATCAATGGTGCGACGTTGGAGGCGGCAGCGGGAAGAACTCAATGTAAAAAACGACAAAAGCTTTCAGAGGAAATTAAAGCTGATGGCCGGAATTGGAAAACATTCTTGAAGACGGGGTGAACACACAAAGAGCAGACGGCCGAGGTGTTTCCACTGTGCAGATCATTACTAACCAGGCATGTTTTGTGTGCAGTTTTTATTTTCTAATCATCCAGGGCTTATTAATGCTGTGTCAGCGCTGTTCTTTTCTTCTAAACATGCAAATTAATGGTAATAACGTGTCAGTGCTGTTTTTATTTTATAACCATCCAGAAATATGAATGCTATCAGTGCTGTTTTCTTTTCTAAACTTGCAGGCACGTTCACACGTGTTTAAAATTTGTTTTGTTGAATTAAAACAACAATGAAAAACTTCCGTGTAGTGTCTTTCTGTCTAATTATCTTATGTTATAGCCATACATGCGCTGTGCGCCGGAGACCTGCATGTGGCTGCTGCGCAGCGGCTTGTGCGGCGTGTGTGTGTAGAAAACCTTTTTTTTTTTTTGCTGGTGCGGCTTATATTGAGGTGCGCTCTATAGTCCGGAAATTATGGTATATTACATTTAGGGCTGCACGATATTAGGAAAACCTGCGATATTCGATAACAATGATTAATATTGCGATGACGATATTACTTGCGATAAATAAAAACTTAACTCAGGAACAAAAATAATCAAAACAAAGAAATAAAAAATCATAAGAATGAGAAATGCAAAAGATGCGAGGAAAAGGAAAAAGAAAATGAACAAGAAAAGGCAATCAGTGGATCCCGGGAAAAGCAGAATCAGCAGAAAGAGCTAACGAAGCTAACTCAGGTGTTTGCTAACCATAGTGCCATCCGCCTCGGGGGCAGGCATCTGACCTATGAGAACCCAGCCAATTTGGCCGAATGGGTGAAGAGCTCTATTTGATTTGTTAAAAAAACATCATCGATTGACAGAATGCATTATGTGTAGCAAACATTTGAGCTGGCCATTCATTGCAATATTTATCTGTTCTTTGCGATATGCATATTGTGCATGCTGATATCACGATAACGATATATTGTGCAGCCCTAATTAGATCCATTACACACAACTGAAGTAGTTCAAGCCTTTTATTGTTTCTAATATTGATGATTGTGGCGTACAGCTCATGAAAACCCAAAATTCCTATCTCAAAAAAATTAGCATATCATGAAAAGGTTCTCTAAATGAGCTATTAACCTAATCATCTGAATCAACTAATTAACTCTAAACACCTGCAAAAGATTCCTGAGGCTTTTAAAAGCTCCCAGCCTGGTTCATTACTCAAACCCGCAATCAAGGGTAAGACTGCCGACCTGACTGCTGTCCAGAAGGCCATCATTGACACCCTCAAGCAAGAGGGTAAGACACAGAAAGACATTTCTTAATGAATAGGCTGTTCCCAGAGTGCTGTATCAAGGCACCTCAGTGGGAAGTCAGTGGGAAGGAAAAAGTGTGGCAGAAAACGCTGCACAACGAGAAGAGGTGACCGGTTCCTGAGGAAGATTGTGGAGAAGGGCCTATTCCAGACCTTGGGGGACCTGCGGAAGTAGTGGACTGAGTCTGGAGTAGAAACATCCAGAGCCACCGTGTACAGGTGTGTGCAGGAAATGGGCTACAGGTGCCGCATTCCCCAGGTCAAGCCACTTTTGAACCAGAAACAGCGGCAGAAGCGCCTGACCTGCTACAGAGAAGCAGCACTGGACTGTTGCTCAGTGGTCCAAAGTACTTTTTTTGGATGAAATTAAATTTTGCATGTCATTCAGAAATCAAGGTGCCAGAGTCTGGAGGAAGACTGGGCAGAGGGAAATGCCCAAATGCCTGAAGTCCAGTGTCAAGTACCCACAGTCAGTGATGGTCTGGGGTGCCATGTCAGCTGCTGGTGTTGGTCCACTGTGTTTTATCAAGGGCAGGGTCAATGCAGCTAGCTATCAGATTTTGGAGCACTTCATGCTTCCATCTGCTGAAAAGCTTCATGGAGATGAAGATTTCATTTTTCAGCATGACCTGGCACCTGCTCACAGTGCCAACACCACTGGTAAATGGTTTACTGACCATGGTATTACTGTGCTCAACTGGCCTGCCAACTCTCCTGACCTGAACCCCGTAGAGAACCTGTGGGATATTGTGAAGAGAAAGTTGAGAGGAGGAGAAGAAGAAGAAGAAAAAGAAATTCATTTCCATAGCGCCTCTCAAGATAAAAATCACGAGGCGCTTCACAAAAGCAAAAAAATGTAAAACTTAAAAAAGCATTTAGAAAATGTTTAAAAATATATTTAAAATGAGCAAAAATAGGCAATTGAGTGCATAACTGAACATTATTATTTGCAGGATGACTTTTTTGTAATTAAAACACTTATTTTATTGGTCGGATGAAATATGCTAATTTTTTGGGATAGGAATTTTGGGTTTTCATGAGCTGTACGCCAAAATCATCAATATTAGAAACAATAAAAGGCTTGAACTACTTCATTTGTGTGTAATGGATCTAATATATATGAAAGTCTAATGTTTATCAGTACATTACAGACAATAATGAACTTTATCACAATATGCTAATTTTTTTAGAAGTACTTGTATTCAAGATGTAAGGGTTCACGGGGGACTGCTGAACCGTTTCGGTATATATATATGTGTGTGTGTGTATACATATATATATATATATATATATATATATATATATATATATATATATATATATATATATATATATATATGTGTGTGTGTGTGTGTGTTATATATATTGTACAGGCCAGACGTTTGGACACACTTTCTCATTCAATGTGTTTTCTTTATTTTCATGACCCTTTACATTAGGAGATTCTCACTGAAGGCATCAAAACTATGAATGAACACATGCGGAGTTATGTAGTAAACCAAAAAAGGTGAAATAAGTGAAAACGTGTTTTAGATGTTAGGTAGTCCTTCAAGACTCTTGGAAAACCATTTAAGGTGACTACCTCTTCAAGCTCATCAAGAGGATGCAAAGAGTTTGTAAAGCAGTAATCAGAGCAAAGTGTGGCTATTTTGAAGAAAATATCATATAAATGCATAAACTATCCACAGAAAGAGAGGACTGTCTTACCTCTTGGTTGTGAGATGACGCTGGCTGTCGCGTTGTTTGCTGGATGTGCTACATCGTCTACGTAAACAAACATTTATGGGCAATAATATTGATAATTGTTTTATTTTATGAAGCAACTCGTTTGCAACGCAGGACGCCATGTTGTCCTTAACGGTATTTGAATTTGTGGGATTTGTAGTTTTTTATTTCATTGTAAAGCAACAACTAAGTTAACTGTTTTGAAGTGAAAACTACAAAACCCATCAGCTTAAGAACCGACCCAAACATCCTCTTAACACTACGTCATTTCCGCTTTGTCGACCGGCGGGACTTCGCATGTGAACCGGCGTTGTTTGCCACAATTGAAAAACAGTTTTAGTAGGAGAAAAACGGACGAACTCTGCTGAAACATGATGGCAACAAACGGAAGAGAAGCTCGCGGACTAAAAGAGAACGGAGCGGTCACGGAGGAGCAGCCACACGCCAACAGGGAAGCAGTTCGACCACAGAAGTTCACTTTCAGCCCCGAGCCCACCATGGAGGATATTCGGCGGATGCAGGCCGAGTTCACCGACGAGCGGGACTGGGACAAGTTTCACCAGCCCCGTAACCTCCTCATGGCCATGGTCGGAGAGGTGGGCGAAGTGGCGGAGCTCTTCCAGTGGCGAGGAGAGGTGGCGGAGGGTCTGCCGGGCTGGACCGAGTCCGAGCGGGAGCAACTGGCCCACGAGCTCAGCGATGTTTTGATCTACCTGCTGGAGCTCGCTGAGAAGTGTCGCGTCGACCTCCCCCAAGCGGTCCTCCGTAAGATGGCTCTCAACCGGCTGAAATATCCCGCCAGCAAAGTGCACGGCTCGGCCAAAAAGTACACGGAGTACGAGGATTGAGGCTGGGGGACATTTCTGATCAGGGACGCTTCTTCCCAGCTGCTGCTGCCTGGAGTTGCTTTTATAAACTCTACCAAAGTCCTGCTGCGGGACATCTGTCTTTCTGGGCCAGATACCTTCATAACCACGATTACTGTTTTGTATTTTACATTTTTGTCTCAGACCTAATATGGAAGATCTCATGTGCTTTCCGAGTCACTGTTAAAACATTTATTTTTGTAAAAGGAAAATACTTCTGGTCTGTTTGAAAGTTGTTGTTCATGTGACCAGTCTGGTGTATTGATGATGATTTGGAAGAAGATACTTTTCTAAATAATCTGAGTTTGTACCTTGGTTGCAGTGCAAAGGTGACCGTGATGATAAATGTTTTTTTTCTTTATCATTAATAATAGAGAATGTTGTGTTTTTATGATTAACTTCCACCAGATTTGAACAGTTTGTTTTAATCGTGATTGTTACGTGTTGTTTCTTAAAGTAAAAGTAGCTCTAAGTCAGGTGTGTGTTTTATTCACTTATGTGTATTTGTGCAGTTAACTTTATCATGCACCTTTATCTATGTTTATATTTTCAGTTAGTAATTCTGTCTGGTTGAATTTTTGAAATTGAATTGATTGGTCAAAAAATGGAATCTTACATTTCAGTTTAGACATTTCCTTTTCAAATAATTAATTTAATTTATATTATGCTTCTGGCCAAGTAAGAAATTTATAATACCTAATAATAATAATGCATTGAACTTATATAGCGCTTTTCTAGACACCCAAAGACGCTTTCACACACTCTCACATTCACACACTGCCAGTGCTGGTATGTTACTTGAAGCCACAGCCGCCCTGGGGAGGTCTGACAGGCGAGGCTGCCATTTGGCGCCGTCGGCCCCTCTGACCACCACTAACACAGGCAAGTTGGGTGAAATGTCTTGCCCAAGGATACAACAGCAGGATACCCCTGGCGGGAGCTAGAATCGAACCCATGACCCTCCGATCATGAGGCAACCCGCTCTACCACCTGAGCTACTGCTGCCCCGCATTATTGGTGTATTTACATAAAATGTGGTAAATTTTATTTATATAGCACTTTTCACAGACGTAGAATCACGAAGTGCTTCACATAGATGAAAACAAAATAAAAAAAGTCATAAAATCAAAATGCTATCAAAACAGAATCAGATTAACATCAGAAAAAATAGTCATGAAATGCCTATCTCCAGCAGTCAATGGGCAATCAGGCGGGGTACACCCTGGACAGAGAGCAAGTCCATCGCAGGGCAACACAGAGACACACAGGACAAACAATCATGCACGCACACACACCTAAGGACAATTTGGACAGACCAATCAACCCAACAGTCATGTTTTTGGACTGTGGGAGGAAGCCAGAGAACCTGGAGAGAACCCACACATGCACAGGGAGAACATGCAAACTCCATGCAGAAAGATCCCAGGCCAGGAAGCGAACCCAGGACCTTCTTGCTACAAGGCAACAGCTCTAACCACTGTGCCACTGTGCAGCCTAAAATGTCATTTCCCCTGTTTGAAAATAAGCGCATTAGTGGTATCAAAAAGCTTCTTTAAAATTCACGGACATCAGATGTAAAATCTGTGTCACAAAACAAGCAGAAAAAGAAAGTAGTGTTTTTATCCCCATTGACTTGCATTCATCTTCTTCATTCTTGCGGGGACCCATGGTGAGGAAGTAGGTGGGCGTGACTCAGGTTCCCTATAGCCACCCCTGACCAACTAGGAAAAAACTTGGATCCACAACATCTCGTTTTTTGCCAAAAAATAAATAAAAAACAAGTGCATTGGAAGCACATTTATAGACATGCCAGGCCTGTAGGAGGCAGTAGTTCTCTAAATTGTTGGAGTCTGCTGCATTTATTCCCTGGATGTGGAATAGTTTGGTGGTGTGCAACAACCATCTTAAATGTCCTTTGCTTGTGGTCTTTCTAACGCTAACCCTAATGCAAGCGAGAGTAAACAAAGGTAGCAAATTTACTGTAAGCAGTGACCTTGTGAAACCTAAAACTGGTTATTTATGTCCACAAGCGAATGCTGACAATGAAGAATTCACAAACCTCCACCTGGCCTGACTTTTTGAAAGAATAATGTTTGGTGGTGTGTGCTTTATCTTTAATGTGAACGACAGGCCAAACCACAGAATACTAACTTTGTTTTGTGGGATATTCGACTACATGTTCAGTTTGAATCTTCCTGCTCACTCTCGCAGGACAACACTACAAATCTCTCTGAATTCACTCCTTTTTGATTCACCTGATCCAAAGGTCACACCAGACTAATATGGAGGAGCAATATATCCAGCCTTTTTCTATGACTTATAGGTGCAAAGTAAATGTGATGCAGAGCAGAACATCTGTGGAGGACTTGGTGTGGCACTGAAGAGTAAATGTTTGGAGGTTTTTATTGTTGTCTGATGTATTTTGAGACACACCATGCCCTCATCTGGAAATCCTGGTCTTCGGTGGGAAGTGTGAGTCATACTCAAGCTGTCGAGAACAGTCGTGCATCGCTAAGATGGTAAGCTGAGTCTGACTTCAAAACAAACTGCATTTTATTTAAAAAGATTTGGCGAATCCATATTCAGATGGAGCAAATGTTTGTTAATCTGGCATCAAACTAAAACGTTTTCTGGTTTCAGGTATCGATCGCTGACTAAAGGGTTGTAGAAAACATGAGGGCTAAACTTACAGGCCAACTATTTTGGATAATCTGATGTAAAATATTGCTGACAATATTCTACATCTGCTTGTTTTTGTATGATCCTAAAACTCAGTCCCAGTTTATTAGAAAGACCCCGATTTATCAAAAGGTCTCAAACAAGCCTTCCAGTTGTCACCTGAAGCTTTTTTGTCTTTAAATATTTCGTGAGATTCTTAGGATGGATGTCCACCTTTTCATTTGAGCACCGATAGAAAAATATGTCAATTTGAACATATTTGGATGTTTTAGATGAATGCTTAGAAGCATTCATTTTAAACTGCCACATCTTCAACCTGCTCCTGAACACCTTAAATAAATTATGATTTTACATTCAGTTTGAGTTGAAACAGTTCCTCTGAAAGTTCTAATCCAAACTTAAAAGTTAGTATATCATGCTAAATCCACTTCATAGAGCTTTTGACCATGTTTAAGTGTTATTTCTTCATCAAAAACATCCCCAAAATGGCCACACATACATTTTCCTGTCTCATCTGCTTCTTTTCTTCAGATTAGCAAATTTTTGCTTAAACGGATTAGGTTGTTGCTAGATCACATCCCGGTATTCTCTCAAGTCCAGATCCTTCCTCCCCTCGACTGTAAACACTAACGCCCAGCCTCTCCATGCAGCTAGCAGGGAGTTTAGACAGACAGTCAGTGGATACACTGACTTTATATTAAATCATTATTAGTATTTTTTACTTGTCACAGTGACAGAGGAGGAAGTGCCTCCCTTGCCTCCTCTGACCGCACGTCACTGCCATCATCTCTGTTCATGGTCCTTGGTTCATGTCTCCTAATTTCACTGGCTTTTGTATTTCTGTTGTTCTGTGTGGGGTTGGGGTGTGCCGTACCATGGTTTTCCCTTGTGCAGTGGTCTGTTACGGCCGATTTATTTATTGTAGCTACTTTCTGCTTTTTTTTTGCTGCTCTTGTGTGTCTTCGACTTGTTTCCTTCACTTCACCTTCCTTAAAATGTAAAAACACATTTTTACTACGCTGCGTTTAGATGAGAACCAAGCAAGGGAATTAGCAATGATAATATTTTATCATTTATTGGGCCTATCGCTGCTCTGGAAGGTGTAGCATGATGCAGGTCCTTTAAAATTGAATAATATTGCAAAACTCATCTATTGCATCCTTTTGTGCTGCCAGAATTGGTCTCTGCTGTCTCTAGAAACACCTCAAACATGAAAAAACCCTGTCCATTTGTTTTCCATCAGTGTTTGATTTTAGGAAACATGCACCTTAAACAACCCGTTTGACATCACAAATAGAGAAATTAGAATACAACCACCTGGGTAACTGAACTTCTCAGCTTATAGCAGCCATGTAGGGGATGGGTGGAAATGGTCAGTACAGCTTGTTTTCTTAAAATGGCAGGGCCAAGAAATGGCTCATTCTGGAAGGTACTGAAACTGTCAACATTAAAACTACTGAAATAGCTTCATGCGAGAGGAATTTATTGCAAATAGCTTCATTAACAGGTTTTAATACACCATATTACTATCATAACTCAAGATAAACTAGAATGTCTACATTAAACTGACCCTTGTATGTTGTTGCACCAAAGTACTTTACAAGAAAAAGAAGCAATTCATCTCTGGAATAAAAAATCTCCACAATATGACATCTAAAGCTACTTTCTGCTTGGTGATAGAGAGTTGATTATGTGTTGGAACCTTCTAAAAGCCTCTTTTAGAAACCACCATGCAACTGTCTTGCTGATTGTACTTTTACAAGTCACATTGTAAGATTGCCTCTTCAAATTTATCCAACAAACCCAACCAGTATCACAAACTGCACCCAAATCAAGGGAAGTTTTGACCTAAATAACAAAGACTGTACTTGTGTTGGTTTGAAGTGCAGCCTCGTCTCTCTCGGCGTATTGAGTTGGCTTCACTTTAAAAGTTTCTAAATGTTCGCTGAAACGAGCTAAGGAGATGACTTTTTGCTCCCTTGTGTTTATTACGTTTTGAGGAAGAACTGAGAGGGTGTTCGTGCTGCGGCACTGAGGGCATAATTACATTTTAGACTCTTGATGAGTTGAAATCTGTGGATGTTTCTTGTGCTTTGTGCTGTTCAGTGAAGCAGATACCATCACGCCTGTAGCTGCTTGTTTTGAGTTTCTAAGAGGATGCTCGGAGTCTAGTTTGCTGTGCTCAAACAGAGTTACTGCAGTGATTGGGCCTGTTTTTGGGTGGAAAAAGCTTTATTTTTCTGTTTTTGGGGCAATTTCCTTCTTATCATCTGCATCTCCCAGATAACACTTTATTTCCCCATAACAACAGAAGTTGGAGCTGTCAGACCTCAAAAAAAGGGGTTATTTAGTGGTTCACATCCCACATGAGGAAATTCACTCACAAAGAAACAAAGGAAGACATTTTTTGCTAATGGATGGAGAAGATATTTGCCCCTCTTTAGTGATTTCTCCCTACAACAAACTCATCCTATATTTACAAGCATTCTGAACATCTTAGGATATTCTTCTCCTTTTACTCAAGCCATACTCTCTAAACTAATCTAGACACGTAACATGAGCAAATCTCTGCAGGAAATTAAACATTTCTTTGGTTTTAACTCAGTCTTTATTGTCCTCATGGGGTCGCTTGGTTCCAGGCTGCTGCTTATCTGAACAGAACAGTGTTGGTGCCATTTACACATTTTATTCTCTTCAATCGCTAACTCCAGAGCACGCTTTGCTGTAGGCCGATGGAACTGGCCAAATAGCTTTAGGCTGCAATTATTACAGCAATCATTAAATTCTATTATGTTCAA